ATGAAATGAAAAAATTCCTAGACTCACAAACTACCAGAGCTGACTAAGTAACAGATATCTGAATCATACAACTATTTTATGTAAGTTTGGCAGGTTTTTTTGGGATTAAAAAATGATATAATCATTCCATTCTTAAGGATGTAGCCAAGAACAATATAAGCCTATGTTCATACAAAGATTCCTATATTAACGTTCACTGCAACTTTATTTTATAGCCAGAAAGTGGAAACAACCCAAATTGCTATCAACAAGTGAATGGATGTGTTATATTCATACTTATTATTAAGCAATAAAAAAGGAATAAATCATTAATCAATGCTACAATATAGAGATTAATCTGAAAATAATTATGCTGAATGAGAGAAGACAAAAAAAGTACAAATAATGCATGATTTCATTTTTATACAGTTTTAGAAATGCAAAATTTCAGAGAAAGCAGGTAGCAGGAGTAAATTTAAGACAGTGAGGCAGATTATGAGTTAACTTAAAATGAGATGTCAGAAAGGCAATTGGATATGACTTTGAGATTCAGAGTAAGACTTCCTTGGAGATGACAAGTTGAGAATCATCAATTTATGGATTGCATTTAAATCTATTCACTTGAGAAAAGCGACATCTGCAACACGGAAGACTAGGATACTCCCAGTCCACACCACCCACAGATGTATTATAAAATAAAAAATAATAATAAAAAAACTGAAAGTGGCTAAAATAACTTGAGAGGAATTCTGAAAAACAGACCATGTGTTCAGTAACCAAGTAAAAGTAAATGACCAGTCAAGAAAACCACGTAAATGTAAATGACTAGTCTTCCACATTCTTTGTTTTTTGTTACTCATTACCCATCCCCACATATGCTTCACCCTCTACTATCCTAGCCAGCCTCTGATAACCATCTTTCTACTCTTCTTCTCTATTAGTTCACTGTTTTTATTTGTACATCTCACAAATAAATGAGAAAATGTGAAGTCTGTCTTACTGTGCCTGGTGTATTAGTTCATTTTCACACTGCTATAAAGAACTACCTGAGACTGGGTAATTTATAAAGAAAAGAGGTTCAATTGACTCACAGTTCCACATGGCCTGTGCAGGCCACCGGAAACTTAACAATCATGGTGGAAAGCAAAGGGGAAGCAAGGGATGTCTTACATGGTGGCAAGAGAGAAAGAGAATGAGGAAAGTGCTACACTTTTAAACTATCAGATCTCATGAGAACTCACTCACTATCCTAAGAACAGCACGGGGGAAATCTGCTGCCATAATCTAATCACCTTTCACCAGATCCCTCCCCTGACACATGGGAAGAGGGTCCCCTGGCCCAAAGCAGGTCCAGAAATGCTGTCCAAGAGCCTAGCCCTAGACTCAGGGACCCCAAGAGCCTACTTTTTGCTCTGCCACCCTGTGGCCAAGCTGGTACCTAAGATGCAAGATGAAGTTCCCTTTAATTTTCCCTCTGTTTTTCTCAGACATCAGGAGTCTTTTGCCATAGCCATCACCGCTGCAAATATGCTGGGTTACCCCTGAAGCCAGCATGTCTAGGAGCCCAAGGCCCATAGTTTGATATCACTGCTGTTTATTCTGGACCCTAAGGCTCTTAGTCAGCAGAAGATAAATCCTGCCATGATGGGGCCTTTCCTTCAAGGCAGTAGGTTCCCTTTTGGCCCAAGGTATGTCCAGGAATATAGTCCTAAGAGTTAGGGCCTGGACTGGGAGCCTCACAACTCTACCCAATGCTGTATAACAGATAAATGAAACAAAGTAGAAGAATGAAAAAAACTACCACATAAAAATCAATTGCTAGGATGGCTACATCAGGGACTGGAAAAAAAAAATCATTTCCATACACTACCACTGAAGAATCTGAAAAAGAAAGCAAGAAAATAACTTTATAGAAAATAATAAAGTATTTATAATAAATACAATCAAGGATGTAAAGACTAATACATTGAAAACTATAAAACATTGCTGATACAAATTAAAGAAGATATACATAAATGGAAAGACAACTTTGCTCATGAATTGGAAAAGGTAACATTGTTAAGATGTCAATACAACCCAAAGTATTCATCCCTATCCAAATTCCAAAAGTTTTTTTTCCAGAAATAGAAAAAAGTATAAAAAATTCCTATGAAATTCAAGGGACCCTGAGTAGCCAAAATAATCTTGATGAAGAACAAAGTTGTATGCCTCATATTTTCTGATTTCAAATTTTACTGCAAAGCTATAATAATCACATTAGTGTGGTTCTGGCACGAAAATACACACATATACCAATGGAATATAGCAGAGACTCCAAAAATAAATCATCATATTTATTTTTGACACAGGCACTAACATTCAATGAGGAAAGGACTGTGTATTAAACTATTTGGGATTCTATAACAAAATAACTTGGACCAGGCAATTTGTAAACAACATGATTTATTCCTCACAGTTCTACAGCCTGAGGAGTCCAAGATCGAGACATCAGCATACTCAGTGTCTGACGAGGGCCTATTCCTCATAGATGGCACCTTCTATGTGTTGTGTTCTCACATGGCAGAATGGGCAAACAGGCTTCTTTATGCCTTTTTTTTTAAAGACAGTCTCCCTCTGTCACCCAAGACGGAGGGCAGTGGTGCTATCCCAGCTCACTGCAACCTCTGCCTCCCAGATTCTAAGCAATTCTCCTGTCTCAGGCTCCAGAGAAGCTGACATTACAGGCACACATCACCAAGCCCAGTTAATTTTGTATTTTTGGTAGAGACGTGATTTCACCATGTTGGCCAGGCTAGTCTCAAGCTCCTGACCTCAGGTGATCCACCCACCTCAGCCTCCCAAAATACTGGAATTACAGGAGTGAGCCACTGCTCCCGGCCTCAGCCTCTTTTATAAAGGAACAAATCCCATGTATGAGGATGAAACTTTTATGACCTAACTAATCACCTCTCCAAGGTCCCACTTCTTTTTTTTTTTTGAGATGGAGTTTCACTCTTGTTACCCAGGCTGGAGTGCAATGGCGCAATCTCGGCTCACCGCAACCTCCGCCTCCTGGGTTCAGGCAATTCTCCTGCCTCAGCCTCCTGAGTAGCTGGGATTACAGGCACCTGCCACCACGCCCAGCTAATTTTTTGTATTTTTAGTAGAGGCGGGGTTTCACCATGTTGACCAGGATGGTCTCGATCTCTCGACCTCGTGATCCACCCGCCTCGGCCTCCCAAAGTGCTGGGATTACAGGCTTGAGCCACCGCGCCCGGCCGGTCCCACTTCTTAATACCATTATCAAGGGGGTTAGGGTTTAACATATAAACTTTAGGGAAACAAAAACATACAGACAAAGCAGACAGTCTTTTGAACAAAAGTGATCCTGCATAAACTGGATATCTATATGCCAAAAAGTTAGATGCTTACCTTACACCGTATACAAAAAATTAACTCAAATTGGATCAAAGAGGTAAATGCAACAGCTAATAGTACTAAAGTCTTAGAGGAAAACAGAATGGAAAGGTTCGTAACATTGCATTTGGCAAAGCTTTCTTAGATGAAACACCAAAAACACAGGCAACTACATTGAAAGTAGATAAATTACACTTATTTGAAATTTAAAACTATTTTGCATCGAAGAGTATTTTCAAAAGAGTGGAAAGGCAATCCACAGAATAAAAGAAAATATTTGCATGTCTTATGTCTGATATTTATAAATATATTCTAAGATACAGATTATATTAAAGAATTATATTCTACATTCTAAGATATAGATTATGTATGTTAAAGAATTATTTATATATATTTCAATTTCTAGATCCTTGAGGAATCACCACACTGTCTTCCACAATGGTTGAACTAATTTACACTCTCACCAACAGTGTAAAAGTGTTCCTATTTCTCCACATCCTCTCCAGCATCCATTGTCTCAATTTTTTTAATGATCGCCATTCTAACTGGCGTGATATGGTAACTCAATGTGGTTTTGATTTGCATTTCTCTAATGACCAGTGCCGAGGAGCATTTTTTCATATGTTTGCTGGCCTCATAAATGTCTTCTTTTGAAAAGTGTCCATTCGGATCTTTCATCCACTTTTTGACGGGGTTGTTTTTTTCTTGTATATTTGACCTAGCAATCCCAATACTGGGTATATACCCAAAGGATTATAAATCGATCTATTATAAAGACACATGCACATATATGTTCACTGCAGCCCTGTTTACAATAGCAGAGACTTGGAACCAACCCAAATGCCTATTGAAGATAGACTAAAGAAAATGTGGCACATATACACCATGGAATACTATGCAGTCATAAAAAAGAATGAGTTCATGTTCTTTGCAGGGACGTGGATGAAGCCAGAAACCATCATTCTTATTATGAGAGAGATACCTAATGTTGGTGGCAAGGAGATGGAGGCAGCAAACCACCATGGCATGTGTATACCTATGTAACAAGCCTGTAAGATCAGATCTGCAAGATCCTTTTCCAAATAGTTATTCACAGCTAACTGCCCATCAGGCCAAGGTCCCCAGGCTTTCAGAGACTTCTCCACTATGAAATACACTCCAGGCCCCACCCCGGCCACCAGCCACCCACCACTGGCCATATCTTTGCCACTGCCTTGCTGGAACAAGTACACCCCTGAGAATTAAGGGGCTCTCCCACAGACACTCTCCCACCGTAAGCAGATTCAGGGTAGTGGGGAAGATATCGAACTACTTCTAGATGGGAGGAGGGGCATCTTCTGCCAAAAACTAGCTGCCAATCAGTCTTCAACAAGACTTTACTCCTGAGTCTGAGGGGTGAGCGTAAGAGTGGCCGGAGCATCCACATGACATGCCTGGCAACTGCACCAATGAAGAGCTCATCCACCATTAGAATCACAAGGCAAAAACAAAAACAAAAAAACAAAAAAAAAGAACTGCAAGGCACGCAACCCCTCCCACCGCCTCACTTCAGCATCTGTGGGGGCTGTAACCTTTCTTGCTCTTGGGCCCCTCTGCTCCTTTCCCTGAGACAGCCAGAGTCCTACCTGCTTATGGGGCCACTTCAGCCTCTCCTCTGGGGTCCTGATCTTGGGCTTGAAGCCTCTCTGGGGGTCTCTACGGTGCTTTGTCTCAGGAGGAAGGTTCAGTGACTTGGGCCTCGTTTTGTGCCTCCTGGGGCTGCAGCTGGCCTTGTTGGGCGGGCAGGCAGGCCAGCCTCTGCAGAATCCCTGGCCTCACTGGCGCTAGTGATGCTGGTCATGCTCAGGTTCATGTTGATCTCGGCCATGATCTGGTTGATGTCCTCCTCCTGGTCCTCCAGGTCCCCATCCCCACACCTCAGGTGGTAGAGGGAGGCACTGGTGCTCCCATTGGCCTCCATGGGGTAGCAATCCCAGTAGCCCTGTTTGCTGGGACAGTAGTGGCCATCTTCTTCCTGGTCATGGGCCTCCAGGACAGAGGGCTCATCCTCCAGGATGGGCAGGTGGCCGTCCGAGTAATCCTGGCTTCCCTCTGCCCCATGGCGGTAAGGGTGCAGTTCTGCCCAGTCTGCCCTCCGCCCACTCCTCCACCGCCTCCTGGAACTCATCAGTGTCCACAGGGTGCATGCCGTGGGCCAGGTACTCCTCCCAGTTGTAGTCCATGCCCTCCAGGTAGCTGTCATCCTCGCGGCAGTAGCAGATATATAGGTGATGCCCTCTTCCTCAGGCAAGCTCTTGTCGCAGTCTTCCTCTTCAGAGGTGTTATTCACATAGTAGGAGCTGGAGTCCCCATCGCGGCTGTGGTAGCAGCACTCCTGCTCCTTGGGCATGAAGATCTCTGGCCACAGGGCAGCCAGCTCCTGGCCCTCGGGCACACAGCCCTCCTAGGGCAGCTCCACGTCCTCGCTCCTGGCCATGGGAGACAGGGCCTGGCCTCACCCTGTGGTCCAACATGCTGCTCCCCACGCTCACACTTCCGGTGGGCCATGGTGGGCACCCACACAGCCATCATCACCCGGAGCAGCCACTGTAGGGGGAACATTGGGAAGGACAGAGTCAAAACCTCACAAAGCCTGGCCACACATGGGATCACTCACCCCCATGGCGCCTCCCACCACATTCTCCCACAGCAACGTGAATAACGACGGCTGAAGATTTTCACCGCAGCATCTTTTAAAAAACTGGAAATGACCTAAGTACTCGTAAATAAAAGAATGGTTAAATAAATGATGGCAGAGTTTGCACGCTGCAAGAGTTGACGGCATTTTTAAAGAGGCAGGACAAAACACACTACAGTGAGGGATCTTAAAGGCCTGTTTTGGAGGGAAAATGACAAGTGAGCTACAGCAAGCGCACGTGTGTAGATCCCAGTTCCAGCTCTGTCAAGATGGCTAGAGAACATACACACAATCCCCAGCCCATGCACAGACACAAAGGCACACAGAAAGGGGGAGCCCCAAATGGCCTATCAGCCATGTCCTCTGGGGAGTGGAGGGGAGGGGAAACAGGTAGGAGCAGAGGGGCTGTGCACATTTTACTTTATTAAAGATGTATGTACTGGTTGAGTGTTTTACAAAAACACACCGATTGTTATAATCAGCATCATAATGAAACTGACCTACACACCTTTGAGGGTCTCTCTTCTAGCTGGGGAGATGTCAGAACTGAGACAAAATGTCCCATGGGGAAGGGCAGACACCAAGGGAAGGAAGTGGGTCTTCCTGCACCAGCTGCTGCTCTGGGCATCAGGGAAGGTGGCAAACAGGCCAGTTTCCTCCGGGAAAGCAACCAGTGGAGCAAAGGGGCCAGCCTCCCAGGCGATCCAAACATGAGCACTCCACAGGGCACAGCCAGAGACACCCAAAACACAGGAGGGGGTGCTGACCCAAGGGAAGGCAGGACCAGGGGATGTGCCAGCCAGCACAGCCGGGGCGCACAGACGAGCAGTATTAATTTGGGAAAAACTAAATTGTTTGGTTTCATTGGAGTAGTTTGAATGCAAAACGAGTAGTTTGCATGCAAAGGTGTGTAGCAGGGGTGTGTGGTGTGTGCATGAGATACAGTGTGTGTGGTGTGGGAAGTAGGAAGTGTGTGCTGTGTGTGTGTATGGTGGCAAGGAGTCCTGGAGAGTGTGGTAAGCGTGTGTAGTGTACTGTGTATGGTGTGTGGTATGTGGTGTGTGTGATATGAATGTGATAGTGTGTGGAATATGATACAGTGTGGAAGGGTTGAGTGTGTACATATGCTTTATGTGTATGGTGTAGTGTTTGTGGTGTATGGTATGTATGGGGTGTGTGTAACTGTGTGGTTGTATGAGGTGTGTATAGTATATGTGGTGTGTATGGGATGTGTGTCGTGTACATGAGGTGTGTATGGTGTGTATGTATGATATTGTGTGTGCGGTATCTGTGTAGTGTGAGTAAGTTGTCTGGTGGAATGTGGTGTGTTGTACAGGTGATGTAATATGTAGGTCAAGTGTGGTTTGCTGTGTATGTGGTATTTATGAAGTGTCTGTGTGTGTGTGTGGCATGTATGGGGTGTGTGGTGTGTATTAAATGTATGTGGTGTATGTATGGTATTATGCAGTGAGTGTGGTATGTGTGTTGTGTGTATATAAGGTGTGTGTGGTGTGTATGGGGTATATGTGTAGTGTGTGGCACGTGTGAAAAGTGCATGATGTGTATAAGTGCGTGGTGTGTGTGAGGTAGGCATGGTATACACATGATGTGTGTGAGGGTTACATGCATGTTGTGTGTATCGGGTATGTGTGTGGTGAGTGTGGCATATATGGGTTCAATATGTGCAGTGTGTGAGGTGGGCATGGTGTATATGTATTGTGCAGTGTATGGTGTGTGTGAGGTGGGTATAATATGTGTGTGGTGTCTGTGATGTATATGTGTTCAGTGCATGGTGTGTATGAGGTGGGCATGGAATATACGCAGTGTGTGTGAGGTGGTTATAATATGCATGTGGTGTGTATGGGGTATGTGTGTGAGGCGGGTATGATATATCTGTTGTGTATGGTGGATATGATACATGTGTGGTGTGTGTGAGGTGGGCATGATATGTGTGTGGTGTGTGTGAGGTGGGTGTATGTGTTGTGTATGGTGGGTATGATACGTGTGTGGTGTGTGTGAGGTGGGTATGATATGTGTGCGGTGTGTGTGAGATGGGTATGATGTGTGGTGTATATGGGTTAAATGTGTGGTGTATGTGACGTGGGCAAGGCATATATATGGTGTGTCGTGTGTGAGGTGGGTATACGTGTGTGGCGTCTGTGTGGTGTATATGCAGTGTGTGTGGTGTGTGTGAGGTATGATACGTGTGTGGTGTGTATGTAGTGTATATGGGTTAAGTCTGTGGTGTGTGAGAGGTGGGTATGATATGTGTGTAGTGTATGTGAGGTGGGTATGACATGGGTGTGGTGTATGTGTAACATATATGGGTTAAGTGTGGTGTGTGTGAGGTGGGTATGTGTGCGTGCAGTTTGTATGCTATATATGGGTAAGTGTGTGGCATATGTGAGGTGGGCACGGTATATATGTGGTGTGTTAAGTGGGTATGTGTTGTGTGTGGCATGTATGGGGTACGTGTGTGAGGTGGGAATGATGTGTGTGTGGTGTATATGGGTTCAATATGTGCAGTGTGTGAGGTGGGCATGGTGTATATGTGGTGTGTGGTATGAGGTGGCTATGTTATGTGTATGGTGTGTGTGTGAGGTAGGTATGATATGCATGTACTGCGTATGGGATATGTGTGTGAGGTGGGAATAATGTGTATGTGGTGTCTATGGGTTAAATGTCTGGGGTGTGTGAAGTGGGCATGGTGTATATGTGGTGTGGGGTGGTTACATGTATGGTGTGTATGAGATAGGTATAATAGGTATGTGCTGTGTATGGGGTATGTGTGTGAGGGGGGTGTAATGTATGTGGTGTGGATATGACGTGTGTGGTGTGTGTTGTACATGGTTAAGTGTGTGGTGTGTGTGAGGTGGGCATGGTATGCATGCTGTATGTGGTATACATGGGTTAAGTGTGTGGTATGGGTGAGGTAGGCATGGTATGTATGTGGTGTGTATGTGCGTGTATGTGTGGCATGTATGGGGTATGTGTGTGAGGTGCATATGGTATGTGTATGGGGTATGTGTGAGAAGTGGGTATGATACATGTGTGGTGTATGAGATGGGTATGATATGTGTACGGTGTGTGTGAGGTGGGCATGGTATGTGTGCTGTGTGTGGTATCTACGGGTTAAATGTGTGGTGTGTGTGAGGTAGCCATGGTATATACGTAGTATGTGAGGTGTGTATGTGTGTCGTGTGTGGCATGTATGGGGTATATGTGTGAGGTGGGTGATATGTGTAAGGGGTATGTGTGTGAGGTGGGAATGACGTGCGTGGTGTATATGGGTTAAATGTTGGGGTGTGACAGGTGGGCATGGTTTATAAGTGTTACGTACTGTGTGAGGTGTGTGTATGATATGTGTGTTGTGTGTAGTGTGTGTGAGGTGAATATGATAGGTTCCTGGTGTGTCAGGTGGGTATGATATGTGTATGGTGTATGTGAGGTGGTTATAGTATGTCTGTGGTTATAGTATAGTATACATATGTGCTGTATCCATACAAATTCAATGTGTGGGGTGTGTAAGGTGGGCATCGTGTATAATGTAGTGCATGGTGTGTGAGGTGGGTGTAAGTGTGTTGTGTATGGTGTGTATGGGGTATGGGTGTGGTATCTATGAGGTGGGCATGGTACATATGTAGTGTGTGGTGTGTGAGGTGGGTAGATATGTTTGTTGTGTGTGGTGTGTATGGGTTATGAGTGTGGTATGTGTGCAGTGGGCATGGTATGTGTGTGCTGTATGTACATATGCGCACACATGCATACCTGTGCACTGCAGATGACAGGCAGGCCAGCAGCCCGGGACACACAGTGGTGACCAGCTCTGCCAAGGCAGAGCTCTGGGCGGGAGTGGCCAGGCACCTGGCAGCTCAGGATCTTGGATGCACTAAGAGCCTAGGAAGAGAGAACTAGCTGTGTCACCATCTCCACCCAAGTTCATCACTAACATGAACCTGTAAGATGCACTGAAACTGTTCCACTTCTGATTAGAACCAGAAACACTCCAGATGGGCTCAGCGCAGCCAAGGGGGGACTGTCTTACAAGGCCACAGTGTGGGGTGGGCGAATGAATCACGGAGGCAGCTACCTTTTGTTTTTTCAAATGCGAAACATTCTGAAAGGCTTAAGCAACACGTATTTAATTTAAAAGCTCAATTGAGATGAAGAAAGAAAAAGAATATATGCTCAGCTCCAGAGACATGCAAATGAGACTGGGGGACAGAGGGAAGATCGATCAATTACTTCCATGATCCCTGAACAGCAGCAGCGGGTCTGAGCATCTTATCTCCACCAAGCAGGCCAGCAGGCGAGCCAGATGCCACGTCATCTTGTGCACACCCCAGACACCATCCCCAAAAGCAGGCAAATGACTATCTCATTTGTTCAGGGATGGCAAAATGGTGCAGGGTTGGTAGCCGTGTTTTCTTCCCAGCAAGACCTAACTGCTGTCATCTTTCTCTGGGACCCAGCCTCGTGAATAGAGTAGATAGGTGGCCAGCAGAACCCAAACTGTTCTGCCCACAGGCTCCTCCCTACAGACCACACCTCAGTGCAACACAGTTTCCAAATCCAAGACGCAGAATCCATGAACAGAAAACCTTCTGCTCCAGAAGGCACTTACAGGAAGTGAATATTAAAATCAAGTATTTTTACATTTTTCCTAACATAATCAGTGTTTCTTATTGCAAATACTAAAAGATGTTTACCATTTATAACCAGAAATACTGTTTCTCATAAAAACCAATAAAATGTAAATCATTCAGTGACCCATCTTTCTGGAAAAGAGTAACACTATATGAAATTGAGGTATTGCCCCTAAAACCAAGATGATGGGCCCTGAAACTCTAAATATTTGAATTGTTAACTAACTTCATATCAAGCGCCTTTAATAAAAACGATGTCAAGCAGACACACTATTAGAACTGATTGGAAAATCAAATTTCAAACTGACACAGCTGTATCAAAAAAAAAAAAAATGAAGAGAGAAAAATCGCCTCATTGCTTTTTAGAATTTTCAAAGATGATGTTAAACCCAGCCACGGTTCTGATGTCTAGGAAAGCAACTACTGTGGTACAAAAGGACGAGGGTTAAATGAGATCAGTGAGAGCTCGCTTTCCCAACTAACCCAGGCAGTGAGAGTGCAGGCTTTCAGCATAGCCCAGGGTTCCCGGAATTGAAAATTCCATCAATGCTTCCATGGGTGGGAAAGGCTGGGATCTTCATTCCTATGACACAAGACCCTGAAGGTTGCTGAAAAATGCTAGTCCCATCTGACTGGGGCAGCATTTTCATTTATTGCACACCATTAAGGTTGGGGTTTCGTTGGTTTGGTTTCGTGTGGTGTGGTGTGGTGTGGTTTGGTTTGTAGAGACAGAATCTTGCTCTGTTCCCCAGGCTGGAGAGCAGTGGGGCAATCTCAGATCACTGCAAACTCTGCTTCCTATGTTCAATCAATTCTCCTGCCTCAGCCTCCCGAGTAGCTGGGATTACAGGTCTGTGCCAGCACACCTGGCTAATTTTTGTTTTTGTTTTTGTTTTTTTTTTTTTTTTTTTTTTTTTTTTTTTAAGTAAAGATGGGGTTTCATCACATTGGCCAGGCTGGTCTTGAACTCCTGACCTCAAGCGATCCACATGCCTCCGCCTCCCAAAGTGTTGGGATTACAGGCATGGGCCACCACACCTGGCTACCATTAGATTTTGGCAGGAATCCTTGTGCTAGATGCCATTTCCCCACCAATCACTGAGCACTAATTATTTCCTGCCCCTGGCGCTGCTGGATACTTTAGGGCAAGCTGTTGTCCCTGCCCACCCACCTAAGGACAGAAACCTCCAACTCTGCCTTGCCAGGTAAACTGACCAGTGTGTCTGAGATGGTGAGTCCTTTGTTATACACGGTCCTCAAAAAAAATGAGACAATTCTTTCACGTACACCAAAGTAAGCAAATGCTGAAAGAGCTTATAATGAAACGTCGCATTCCCCAGTCTGGACTCAGCAACTCCGCTGGCCAACCTTGTCATTATTTCTGATTTTAATTCTACTGGTGGCTATTTTTCACCTCTCTAAATATTTTTAAAACTCTCTTTCTGGGTGTCACCCTTGGATAATATTTATTGGCATCTCAGTATGAGAGGTGAGCTTGGCAGGCCACAAACTCCCAGGCTCTGGTCCAAGTAACCAGATAATCACATCAGCTACTGCAGCCACAGTCACACAGAGGGGCTTTCCATTCTTAGCAAACCTGGGGTCAAAGAGGTCCTTCCAAGAGCTCTCACCTAACTCTGGGGACACAGAAGCATCCATCAGAAGACCGGTGGTCACAAAGCCTTCAGGATGGATACAGGCTCTTTTCTTCACTTTATAAAGCCCCAGATAGGCTGGCACTAACACGGCATGTCACTGTCACACTTTGAGGGCAGGAACTGGCTCCTGCTCCAGGTTGCATCCTCTGCTTCCAGCACCAGCCAATCTGCTCCATGCAGGATGAGCAGGTAGCTTCAGGCGGTCCATCCAACCCTCACAAAGGGTAGAGGAGCAGAGAGTATGAGCAGCCAAGATGAAGTCCTCATAGGCTTCTTTGATTCTTTCTACTATGTGAGATATTCTCCATACCTGAGGGATGAACAGCAAAGAAGACGTCCTCTACCCATACAATGGGGACAGTAATCAGCCCTAAGAAGGAAGGAAATTCTGATGCATGCTACAACACAGATGGGGCTTGAAGACATCATGCAAAGTGAAAGAAAGCCAGTTGCAAAAAGACAAATGACTGTATGATTCCACTCAGATGTGGCACCTAGAGTCATCAAACTCACAGAGACAGAAAGTAGAGGCTGGGCGCGGTGGCTCATGCCTGTAATCCCAGCACTTTGGGAGGCCGAGGCCGGTAGATCGCCTGAGGTCAAGAGTTCGAGACTAGCCTGACCAACATGGTGAAACCCCATCTCTACTAAAAATACAAAAAATTAGCCCAGTGTGGTGGCAGGCACCTGTAATCCCAGCTACTCGGGAGGCTAAGGCAGGAGAACCACTTGAACCCTGGAGCCAGAGGTTGCGGTGAGCTGAGATCACACCGTTGCACTCCAGCCTGGGCAACAAGAGCAAGACTCCACCTCAAAAAAATGTAAAGAGAGACAGTAGAATGGTGGCTGCCAGGGGTTGGGGGGAGACAGAAGGAAGAGTTTCACCTCCTTCCAGCATTCAGTCCACCCCATCTCTACTGTTCACACAAACTCACACCCCATGGGACTCAGCCTGCAGCTTCTCCCAGCCTAGGAGCCCAGGAGCCGGATAGTGGGGAGAGGCACAGACCTCCCTTCCTAACAAATGAGAGGGAAGACACAGTGCCCCATCACTAGTGCCATCACCCAGTCCCAGCTTAGCCATGGAGCCCACTCCAAGGGACCCCCCTGCCAGTGCCGCTAGCACCCACCGAGGGAGGGCTGTCAGCACACAGTCACAAGCTCCAGCTTTATCCACTCATGCCCTGGACACTGCTCAGAGCCCCAGCAGGTTCCATGTTCATGTCACCCTAGCCCTCCTGCCCAAGAGATCCTAAGTTCAGGAGACCCTCTCCAAGCCCAGGCTGCAGGGGAAGGCAGCCCCCAGTGTCACCTAGGAGTGAGTGCAGAGGAAAGGGCATCCTGGATGCTTCAGACTGGGAAACACAGATTCTATCTCCTACATAGTGGCCACACCTCCTGGGAGAGGAGAAACTCCTGCCTCATCTCAATGGAGAGACCCTGACCCAGAGACCTGAGAAAAAGCCACCTGTGCCAGGCACGGTGGTTCAAGCCTGTAATCCCAGCACTCTGGGAGGCCAAGGCGGGTGGATCACGAGGTCAGAGATTGGAGACCATCCTGTCAACAAGGTGAAACCCCGTCACCACTAAAAATAAAAAAAATTAGCTGGGCATGGTGGCGCGTGCCTGTAATCCCAGCTACTCAGGAGGCGGAGACAGGAGAATTGCCCGAACCCAGGAGGCAGAGGTTGCGGTGAGCCGAGATCGCGCCATTGCACTCCAGCCTGGGTAACAACAGCGAAATCCGTATCAAAAAAAAAAAAAAAAAAAAAAAGCCACCTGCAGGCTCCCAGCACCTACCAAGCTGCACCTCAGGAAAACTTGCCCTGCTTCAACCTGCAAAGCCCTCACGTTCTAATTTCTAGAACCTCTGTCCTTTCTCAAAGATGTCGGAAAATAGAAAAAAAACAAAACAAAACAAAACAACAACAACAAAAAGAGGCACAGGAGGTTGAAGAGGCCAAAAGCAGTTTAGCGCCCCTCCCCAAAAAGTGCCAAACACCTGATACGGAGTTCGGGGTGCTTGACCCTCCATGTGCCCATTTAGGAGCTGACTGTGCTCAACCAAGATTTAGGTCTGGTCTCTGCCAGGTGTTATCTAAACAGATCTGAAAAAATAAACTTTCCTCTTTCCAGTAAATACTAAGTTAACACTGGCAGGCCCCTCTAAGGCTCTGCTCTCCACTGGGGTCCCGAAGGGCAGGCCCCTCGCAGGTGTCCTCACCCTCATCCTCCCTCCGCATCGGGCCAGGAAAAAAGTTCGCCCAGGCCTGGGCACACGGAGGCCCACTGCCCGGTCCGTAGAGCCCTGCTGGGGGACCGGGAGCCTCAATGCTCTTCTTCACCATCTGCGGTCAGACCTCCCGCCAGCAGCCTTGCCAGGCAGTGCCTGACGTGGGAAAGGGGCGCGGCCTCAGATCAGGTCCACGCCGCGCCCCCAATCCGGAGCCTGGAGCCCAGGAGCAACGCGGTGTTTAATTGAGTTTTCCCCTCTAGGTCTTCTTATAAAGGGAAAGGGAAGAAGATGAAGATCTGGACTCGGAATTCCCCGGGGGCAGCAAACCCATAGGCGACCCCAACCCAGTTGCCGCCCCAGCACCAGGACTTCATGCAGGCACCAAGCGGGGCCACAGAATGCACCAGCGGCCCTGCCAATCTGGCAGGCCCTGAGAGGGCGCCCGAGCATCCCTAGAGAGTGCCTCTTGCCGGCGCCCGGTGGCCCTTTGCTGTGGTACCCGCTGCCCAGAATGCGAAAGCCGACTCCTGGACCCCGCTGCACCCGCCCGCCGGTCGTAGGAGGGGGAAGGGGCCGCCCGAGAGGAGTGGGGCCACCAGGCTGCACCCCCAGATCCCAGCAGTTAGCAGTAAGCAGCCCCGCAGCCCGCGGCCCCGCCGAGTCCAGACCGCAAAGCTCGGCGCGCTGTGGCCGCAGGTTGCGCGCCACCGCCGTCTCCTCTGGGTACGCACCCGTCTACCCCGCGGGTAGAGCCAGCCCCCGTACCCTCCAGCTAAGACGCCCATCGCCGCTCGCTCGGTCCGGGAAGCCCAGCTCCTGACTAACCCGCGCGGAGCCACACACCACAACTAGTAACTGCACAGCCCGGCAACTGCCAACGGCCCCCAAGCTAAACGGTGGCCCGCGCGCCCGGGAAGCAGAGTACGGCAAGTCCGCAGGGCCGCCTCCAGCCTGCGCACGCGCACTCACCTGCGGCCCCCAAACTAAGCGGCGGCCCGCGCGCCCCGGAAGCGGAGTACGGCAAGTCCGCAGGGCCGCCTCCACCCTGCGCACGCGCACTCACCTGCGGCCCCCAAACTAAACGGCGGCCCGCGCGCCCCGGAAGCGGAGTACGGCAAGTCCGCAGGGCCGCCTCTACCCTGCGCACGCGCACTCAGCTGCGACCCCCCAAACTAAACGGCGGCCCGCGCGCCCCGGAAGCGGAGTACGGCAAGTCCGCAGGGCCGCCTCCACCCTGCGCACGCGCACTCACCTGCGGCCCCCATCCACAGCCCCGTCCCCGCTGCTTCCCCTCACCAGAGGCGCTCATTCGCCTCTTGGATTTTTGGAGCGGGAAAAGCTTCCGGGCGACAATGAGCGGTGGGAAGAGAGGGAAGATAAAGCTGCGACCGCGCCGGGAGGCCCTGCGCCCACTGGTTCCTGCGCTGGGACGGTCGCCAGAGCGAGAGGGGGCACCCGGGACCGGTCCCCGAGCTGGTCTCCGGAACCGGGCTGGAGCCCCCGACGATGGAAGGCGTGGCGTCCCGAATGCCCCTGCCTGTAATCCAGCACTTCTGGAGGCCAATCCCAGCACTGTGGGGAACCCATTAAACGGGTTAGCAAAAGGGCGGAGCGCGATGGCTCTTGCCTGTAATCCCAGCACTTTTGGAGGCCGAGGCGGGCAGATCACAAGGTCAAGATACCGAGACCATCCTGGCCAACACAATGAAAACCTGTCTCTCTTAAAATACAAAAATTAGCTGGGCGTGGTGGCAGGCACCTGTAGTCCCAGCTACTCAGGAGGCTGAGGCAGGAGAACTCCTTGATCCTGAGAGGCAGAGGTTGGTAGTGAGCAGAGATTGCATCACTGCACTCCAGCCTGACGCCTAGCGACAGACCGACTGTTTCTCAAAAAAAATAATAAAAAAATAAAGAAGTAAGGCCGGGCACGGTGGCTCATGCCAGGCGTGGTTGCAGGTGCCTGTAGTCCCAGCTACTGGGGAGGCTGAGGCAGGAGAATTGCTTGAACCGGGAGGCCAAGGTTGCAGTGAGCCAAGATCTCGACATTGCACGCCAGCCCAGGCGAAACAGTGAGACTCCGTCTCAAAAAAAACAAAAAAAACAGACAAGAGACACAAACTTTAACTGCAGACCTTATCAGTATTAAAAAGATAAATGAGGCCAGGCACGGTGGCTCATGCCTGTAATCCCAGCACTTTGAGAGGCCTACGAGGGCGGATCACGAGGTGGAGAGATCGAGGCCCATCCTGGCCAACATAGTGAAAAACCCTGTCTCTACTAAAAACAAAAAATTAGCTGGGTGTGGTGGTGCGAGCCTGTAGTCCCAGCTACTCAGCAGGAGGCTGAGGCAGGAGAATCCTTTGAACCTGGGAGGCAGAGGTTGCAATGAGCCGAGATTGTACCACTGCACTCCAACTTGGCGACAGAATGAGACTCCATCTCAAATGAGATAAATATTAGAACAACTTTGAAATTTGAGATAAAATGAACAAATTCATTCAACAAACACGGCTTAACAAAATGAAGTGATATATATGTAATTGGACCTGTAATTAAAAACCTTATAAAAACTACAGTCTCACATGGCTTAAATAGTGAATTCTTCCAAATGCTTAAGGAAGAAAGAGCATACATCTTACATGAACTATGTCAGTAAATAGGGAGAAGTAAACAATTTCTAACTGGTTTTAACCAGTATAGCCTTAATATTTCATATTGAAACCTATATGAACATCACCAGAAAGGAAACTTACACTCCACTTCCTCTTGTGAACATAAGTACAAAAATTACCAAATGAACTATGAGCAACCCATTAAACCACATATAAAATTGGGTTGATCATACTCACAAGCAAGTTGACTGAATTCCAGAAATGCGTGTTAGTTAACATTCAAAAGCAATCACTGTAAACTACCTTATCAACAATAAAAATATAAGAAACAAATGCTCAATCCACAAAGAAAAAAGCAACTGATACAATTTCAGTACCCATTAATAAATTTGCAAACCGATCTAACAGAGGAGGAAGCAACATGCTCAGTTAAACACTACTGCAGTTGAGAATAGTGACACAACTTATTTGCAGCTGAAAGATAAAAACTTTTGAGAATATGTTTTTCAGCTAAAAAGAGACAGACTCCGCCTTTGAACCTTCCCTTTTTCCCTCCCAGGAAGGCAATCCAAGGCCTGGAAAAACAGCAGCCACATTGTAACCACAAGAACAAAAGCTACATGGCTAAGGAAGTACCAGAAAACTGACAAGAGCCTTGCACTGCCTTCCTCTGAACATTTCTTCTAT